GGTGCAAAAACATAACGTGCCATAGTTCACCACCTTAGAAGAAATCAGAGTTTTGCTTTGTTTGGTTTTGTTTTTCTTAAGTGCCAGGGAAACGCGCTTCCCAAAGGGCGGCTTTAGTTTACGGGCACCAAGGTGGAAGCATGAAGTGAAGCCATGCCAAAAACGTCAGGTTTTCATAAACCCTTCTTGAAACAGTGCACCGTGTTTTTAGTAAAAACGCATATCTACCAAATCTCCACTGACCACGGGCCACTTACGTACGGAAAGTCGCATCAATTTGCTGCGTCAATGCTGACACTTTTGCCTTCTCCTTCCACCCACCTCCCCAATTTTTTTTCCTTGGGAGACATACAGCACCACTGCATTAGAACGTACAAGAAATGAAAACAGTGAGTACAACTGATATAGATCCATTGACTTTTTATTACAAATGTACTTGATCACTTGGCTTCAAAAAAGTTTAAATCAACCCCTATTTTCTGTACGCCAGTACAAAGTAAAATCTATTTTACAAATTAAATACCTAAAAATTTGACAAAAATATTAAAGTTTGATGGAAAAAACAGTTATAAAAATCTTAAATCCCCTTTTAAGAAGGTAAGAGATAACATCCCCTCCCAACCCCCACAGTCCTGTTATACAATATTAATAGTCATTTTTTTAGAATAGGTAGGTATGTTATATCTTGCTGTTAGCATACAAGTCACTCTAATAGCTTTATCTGTATATACTCCAGTTAGTGCATGAATGCCATCTGATTGAATATAATCAACTATCTTTAACTGATCCCTAATTTACATTTCATAGCTTGCATAGTTTGAAGGGACAAAGGTTATACTACAGCTAATCATAAAAAAGGTGGTTACAGTGCTATTTTTAAAGGCAACAAAGTAATTGCTCCCCCCCAAAAAAAGAAGTTATCGGTCGGCTCTGAGCAGGGGTTAAAATCACCAGCAGCTTTCTGCCTCGCTCGATAGGATGGTCTCTGCCTCGCACCCGCTGCCCGCACCGGGCAGCCCCTCTGCGCTTTACAACAGCCAAGTTACAGGTTGCAAACCGCTTCTCAGCGAGCGCTACACTTAGCACATTTCAACCCCTGCAAGGGATACGCAAGAAAGTGACACTGTCAAGTATTTTTTTTTTCTTTTTCCTTTTCTTAAATCGAATTTTCAAAAAAAGCTCTCCGCTGCATATGAGTATGCCTTGCTGGAAGCTCAGTGTCCTGTCCACGCCCCACAGCTGAGTTTCTAACCGCTGGCACGGCTGCCCCACGGCTCCTGCCCGGCCGAAGCCCTGGCCCACCCTGGCACCAGATGCCTGGAGCCAGCGCCAGGATGGGTCCGGCCAGTCCCCTCCTGCTCCCAGGCAGCTGGACGGCTGCCTCTCACGGCAGCATCGCAAACGGGACCACAGAGGAGAGGCAGGAATCAATAGCGGTTCGTTCTGTTTTGTTTTTTTTTTTTTCTTTTTTATTTAACTTCCCGGAGACAGAGCAATTTTACTTTTTTTTTAAACAAAAAAATAATAGTAAGGACATTGAATTTGGAGGACATTTCTCCATTAGCATAAAATCACTTAAAGGGCGGTTGTATTTCAATGGTAAATTACTTGACAGTGTCCCTTTAACTTAAAAATAAAATAATGTCAGTATTGCAATGAATTTCAAGTTTTCTTGCACGTAGTCATTATAAAGTAGTTTTTATCATGCTCTTGGACCTATTCTACAAGACATTTAAAAGCATATCATCAAGGAAAATATAAGGCATACTTCTCAGGAATTAGATAACTTGGCACATTTGAGCATACTGTCTTTTTTTAAAACAACACATATGGTCAAATATACCTTTCTTCTTCTAACATTAAACAGGGTTTTCTGTACTTTGTTTTAAATACTGAGATATTAGAGCCCTGGTAAAGTACCGAGCACCTCTGGGAAAAAAAAGAATTAAAAAAAAAAAAAAATAAATCAAAACAAAACCAGAAGCGAAATCCCACGAACCTTTACAGTCATTTTAGTCTTTCATTATCATCATTCATCAAGTCCTAGAACATACATAACGTGCGTTAAAAGAAGAAAAAAAAATAACGAAAAACAACGAAACATGCAGAAGAAACCCAAAACGAGACAAAAACTGACCACAAGTTCTCGGACACTGTTCACAAAACTGCCAGCAGGCTGTTACAGGCTGTACTGGTTTGACTGGAACCGCGCGGCCCGTGCGTTTCTCCAGTCAGCCGGATCCCGGGCAGGATCCGGGCGGCACGGGTGAGGAAGACCACAGGGAGCAGCCTGCCTCGTTAGCGATGCTCCCAGGAGCCGGGAGGGAATGGAAGGACACTGCCGTGCTCTCATCGCCTCCCGCTACTTATTGCTGGGAACACAACGCAGCGGCGTGGAACTACGAGCGCCGGACCGCGTCCGTCGGCAGCGCAACAACTTTTGGGAGGGCAGTGAACAGCAGGACCGAGACAATCAATCAAGTAGCAAAACCAAAGCAATTAATTTCCTAACTACATCTAGCAGCATGGAGAATGCAGTCCCGCACACATCACAGTTGAAGTACAATAATCGATGGAACTGCCCATCCAGACCCTCCGATTCAAAAGCAGGTTATCAGACAAATGTTTACATGCAATTGAGAACCATTTCAAATGTCACATTACGCACTCCGAAAGCTTATTTTACTACTGGGAAATAGGAAAGTGCACATTAAAGCAATTTTAAACATTTCCAGTGATTGTTTAAAAGAAATAGAAACACCTCACTACCGGCATCTCGTATTTAACTTTCTGTGAACACTAACAGCAAACTTCTTTAAAGGGAAATAATGCATGGTACAATGGAAACAGCTTGTTTTGACACTTACAGTACATCTCAAAAAAAAAAAAAAAAAGAAAAAGGGAATTATAATTTCAAATGGGAATAAAAAGACAGCAGGAAATAAAATTCTTTAAAACAAGCTTATTTTTTTTTCCCCACCCTTCCAAAACTCCATCCTTGACCATCAGTAAAGCAGCGCAGGCAGCTCCTGCTCATACAGGTGTGCCTTCTGTGCGCAGCAGCTAGGTCTACCAGAAAGCTAACTTTGCCAAGAATGTTAAGAAAAATGATTGCATCCCAAAAAAAATTCCAAGTGGAACAAGATCCCAGGTTCTCTGAAACACTGTCTACTGAATTCTGGCCAAGAAAAGAAAAGAAAAGGAAAAAAAAAATTTTGTTTTCACTGTTTAAGGCATCTTTTTTTTTATAACGTTTTCTCTTCACTCGTAATGATGATAGTCATGCAGCAGTTTAATGATAAAAATATATTAATATTTTACTATACAGCAGCAAGAAGTTAGTCAATTAAAAGCATACCAACTTTTTTTAAAAGAAAAAAAAAACCAAAACAACAAAAACAACCTGTAAAAGTCTATTATTATTCTTATTATTACAAACAATTTAAATTTGGAGAACACACCTGGACAGATTAGTGTTCTGACAAATCTGCCTCTCCCTACCCTAGGCTTTGACCAGAGCCCGCGAGCGCGCAAGCCAGCGAGGAGGCTAGGATGGGAAGGGAAGGGCACAGCTAGGCTCGCCAGGTATGTAGCCAGTAATAACTAGCACCACAGCTACATGGAAATCCATTACAGACACACACCGGCTTGGCTTTCACTTTTAAACAAAACTCCGAACCCCATGGCTCAGTAGGATTACTCTGCAATTGCGTCGCACTGATTTCTAACAGGCCTACAGAAGTTAACGGCACTGGCAGGGATCAAAGCATAGGTTCGGACCTCTCACGAGTTTAGGAGATAGTGCTAGTGCCAGTGGCGACACGGAAAGACTCGCTACCTGCTGTCCAAAAACAGGTTGACTGGAAACCGCTGCACGTCAGGTTAAGTACTTTAAGTACACAGAATAAAAAAAATATATTATGAACAATACAAGTACATCTCATATACACAATAATGACAATACGTCTACTCAGCTGTAAACCAAACAGGTGCAGAAAAAAATATTACGGGAGGAAATTCTTTACTTTTCTTTTTTTTCTCTCTCTCTCTTTTTTTTTTTCTTTTCCTCTTTTCTTTTTTTTTTTTTTTTTTACTATTTGAATAACTTTGGTTCAAACGTAAAAATCACAAGTTAGCAAATTTCATTTAAATGCCTTTTTTAATAATTTTTCTTCATGTTCACAGAAGTTTCACTGACCATTTTTATATGTTTAAGGTCCAGATGCAATGCATATTGTATAAAAGAGAGCACTTATTGTTTACCTTGCATGAATTAAACCTACGTACCTTTTAACTCTACAAACTTCTGCATAACATTTAGACAAAGCTCAGACACACAGCATGCCTAGCCCTCATATATATATACACATCTCTAATCACAGGTATATAGGGTGTCAAATATACTATAGTAACCTCCATGTAAGGTTTGAAATTTGGTAACAAAATGAGAAGAAAAAACTAAAAATATTATTTTACGTGTTCTAAAATATCTCTTTTTTTTGTGCTAAAGTCAAATGTTAGCTCAACATGAAAAGGACTTTTTTTTTTTATATAATTCAGCAATATTATAATCTTGACCATTTTTGCAAACACTTTTAATAATAATAGCTTAAACGTGTACAAAAGTTCTCGGTTAATTAGGGAAATAAACACTCAGTTCTTTATATTTTTAATCAAGTAGGAAACACAGTTCATATATAATGTTATTACTTTTTTCTGACTTTTTTTTTGTGTGTTTTGTTTTGTTTTGTTTTTGTTTTAGCAGCTGCTTACTGTTTGATACGGTGGGTAAAGTGGAGGAACATCCAGCGATGGGTGGATGGAGGCGCTTCTGCCGGGCGGCGGGGGGCGCCGGGCGAGCGGCGCTGCAGGGGGGGACGCCGGG